CGACGACGACAACGGAGACGATGACAACGGTGACGACGACGATGACTACGACGATGATGACGACGACGGTGACGACGACTCAACGACGACGACGGCGACGGCGACGACGTCGTCGACCCGACGGTGACGAGAATGACGACGCCGACGACGATGACGACGCCGACGGCGACAACGACGACGACGATGACGACGACGACGGCGGCGACGACGCCGACGACGTCCCAGGCAAGCGGCGAACGTCCTGCTCCTCATTCGCCTCCTTGTCCTCCTCCTCCTCCGACTCCGACTCCGCCGCCTCCTCCTGACCCGCAGCCCCTCCGGCACAAGGATACGGAGGTTTATCGTGGATCCGCGTAGCGCGTCACTGTGCTGGGCCCCCCAGCAGGCCTCGAAAGTGGCGACAGTTTCACAGATCGCAGCCCCCCGCAGGCAAGACAGGAGGAGGCAGGCAGGAGGCAGGAGGGAGGCGGGAGGAGACGCGCGAGAAGTGCTTTATTCAAACCGAATACCCAACCAAGGAGGGTTGGGAATAAAGCAGGAAGCAGGACGCAGGAGGAGGGAGGGAGGCGGGAGGAAGGAAGGTGGAGACCACAGTCCATTATTCAAAACGAATACCCAACCAAGGAGGGTGGGGGGGGAAAAAAAATACCCTGGCGACGTACCCAACCCCTGCGCAAACGCGGGGCGCAAATAGTTTAGGACACTTTATAAGGGGGGCGATCACGGAGCGAGGGTTACATATGTCTGCAGACGGAATTCGGGAGACTCGCAGGACACTGGCTACAGAACAAGGACTAGATAAAGCTGATTAATTACAATCCCTGAGCACCCCTAGCCACTTCGACGACGACAACGGAGACGATGACAACGGTGACGACGACGAGGACTACGACGATGATGACGACGACAGTGACGACGACTCAACGACGACGACGGCGACGGCGACGACGTCGGCGACCCGACGGTGAATAGAATGACGACGCCGACGACGATGACGACGCCGACGGCGACAACGACGACGATGATGACGACGACGGCGGCGACGACGCCGACGACGTCCCAGGCAACCAGCGAACGTCTTGCTCCTCATTCGCCTCCTCCTCCTCCTCCTCCTCCTCCTCCTCCTCCGACTCCGCCGCCTCCTCCTGACCCGCAGCCCCTCCGGCACAAGGATACGGAGGTTTATCGTGGATCCGCGTAGCGCGTCACTGTGCTGGGCCCCCCAGCAGGCCTCGAAAGTGGCGACAGTTTCACAGATCGCAGCCCCCCAGGGATGGCGAGGTCTAATTTGGGCCCGCCCGTGGCGTCACTGTGCTGGGCCCCCCAGCAGGCCTCGGAAGTGGCGACAGTTTCACAGATCGCAGCCCCCCAGGGATGGCGAGGTCTAATTTGGGTCCGCCCGTGGCGTCACTGTGCTGGGCCCCCCAGCAGGCCTCGAAAGTGGCGACAGTTTCACAGATCGCAGCCCCCCAGGGATGGCGAGGTCTAATTTGAGTCCGCGGTGGGTACCCACTGTGCTGGCCCCCCAGCAGGCCTCGAAAGTGGCGACCAGTTTCACAGATCGCAGTCTCCCAGGGATGGCGAGGTCTAATTTGAGTCCGCGGTGGGTACCCACTGTGCTGGGCCCCCCAGCAGGCCTCGAAAGTGGCGACAGTTTCACAGATCGCAGCCCCCCAGGGATGGCGAGGTGCAATTTCAATCCGCCGTGTGTACCCAATGTGCTGGGCCCCCCAGCAGGCCTCGAAAGTGGCGACAGTTTCACAGATCGCAGCCCCCCAGGGAGGGCGAGGTCTAATTTGGATCTGCCGCGATTACCCTCTATGCTGAGCCCCCCAGCAGGCCTCGAAAGTGGCGACAGTTTCACAGATCGCAGCCCCCCAGGGATGGCGAGGTCTAATTGGAGTCCGCGGTGTGTACCCACTGTGCTGGGCCCCCAGCAGGCATCGAAAGTGGCGACAGTTTCACAGATCGCAGCCCCCCAGGGATGGCGAGGTCTAATCTGAATCCCCGTAGGGCGTCACTCCGCTGGGCCCCCCAGCAGCCTCGAAAGTGGCGACAGTTTCACAGATCGCAGCCCCCCAGGGAGGGCGAGGTCTAATTTGGGTCCGCGAGGGACGTCACTGGGATGGCGAGGTCTAATTTGGGTCCGCGCGTGGCGTCACTGTGCTGGGCCCCCCAGCAGGCCTCGAAAGTGGCGACCGTTTCATCGATCGCAGCCCCCCAAGGATGGCGAGGTCCAATTTGGGTCCGCGCGTGGCGTCACTGTGCTGGGCCCCCCAGCAGGCCTCGAAAGTGGCGACAGTTTCACAGATGGCAGCCCCCCAGGGATGGCGAGGTCTAATTTGGGTCCGCGCGTGACGTCACTGTGCTGGGCCCCCCAGCAGGCCTCGAAAGTGGCGACAGTTTCACAGATCGCAGCCCCCAGGGATGGCGAGGTCTAATTTGGGTCCACGCGTGGCGTCACCGTGCTGGGCCCCCCAGCAGGCCTCGAAAGTGGCGACAGTTTCACAGATCGCAGCCCCCCGCAGGCAAGACAGGAGGAGGCAGGCAGGAGGCAGGAGGGAGGCGGGAGGAGACGCGCGAGCAGTACTTTATTCAAACCGAATACCCAACCAAGGAGGGTTGGGAATAAAGCAGGAAGCAGGACGCAGGAGGAGGCAGGGAGGCGGGAGGAAGGAAGGTGGAGACCACAGTCCCTTATTCAAAACGAATACCCAACCAAGGAGGGTTGGGGGGGGGAAATTACCCTGGCGATGTACTCGACCCCTGCGCAAACGCGGGGCGCAAATAGTTTAGGACACTTTATAAGGGGGGCGATGACGGAGCGAGGGTTACATATGTCTGCAGACGGAATTCGGGAGACTCGCAGGACACTGGCTACAGGACAAGGACTAGATAAAACTGATTAGTTACAATCCCTGAGCAACCCTAGCCACTTCGAACGCGGGGATCTCATATCGCAGCCCCCCAGGGATGGCGAGGTCTAATTTGGGTCCGCGCGTGGCGTCACTGTGCTGGGCCCCCCAGGAGGCATCGAAAGTGGCGACAGTTTCACAGATCGCAGCCCCCCAGGGATGGCGAGGTCTAATTTGGGTCCGCGCGTGGCGTCACTGTGCTGGGCCCCCCAGCAGGCCTCGAAAGTGGCGACAGGTTCGCAGATCGCAGCCCCCCAGGGATGGCGAGGTCTAATTTGAATCTGCGCGTGGCCCTCACTGTGCTGGGCCCCCCAGCAGGCCTCGAAAATGGCGACAGTTTCGCAGATCGCAGCCCCCCAGGGATGGCGAGGTCTAATTTGGGTCCGCGCGTGGCCCTCACTGTGCTGGGCCCCCCAGCAGGCCTCGAAAATGGCGACAGTTTCGCAGATAGCAGCCCCCCAGGGATGGCGAGGTCTAATTTGAATCCGCGCGTGGCCCTCACTGTGCTGGGCCCCCCAGCAGGCCTCGAAAATGGCGACAGTTTCGCAGATCGCAGCCCCCCAGGGATGGCGAGGTCTAATTTGAATCCGCCCGTGGCCCTCACTGTGCTGGCCCCCCAGCAGGCCTCGAAAATGGCGACAGTTTCACAGATCGCAGCCCCCCAGGGATGGCGAGGTCTAATTTGGGTCCGCGCGTGGCGTCACTGTGCTGGGCCCCCCAGCAGGCCTCGAAAGTGGCGACAGTTTCACAGATCGCAGCCTCCAGGGGATGGCGAGGTCTCATTTGAATCTGCCCGTGGCGTCACTGTGCTGGGCCCCCCAGCAGGCCTCGAAAGTGGCGACAGTTTCATAGATCGCAGCCCCCCAGGGACGGCGAGGTCTAATTTGGGTCCGCGCGTGGCGTCACTGTGCCGGGCCCCCCAGCAGGCCTCGAAAGTGGCGACCGTTTCGCAGATCGCAGCCCCCCAGGGATGGCGAGGTCTAATTTGGGTCCGCGCGTGGCGTCACTGTGCTTGGCCCCCCAGCAGGCCTCGAAAGTGGCGACAGTTTCACAGATCGCAGCCCCCCCCACCCCAGGGATGGCGAGGTCTAATTTGAGTCTGCCCGTGGCGTCACTGTGCTGGGCCCCCCAGCAGGCCTCGAAAGTGGCGACAGTTTCACAGATCGCAGCCCCCCCCAGGGATGGCGAGGTCTAATTTGAATCTGCGTGTGGCGTCACTGTGCTGGGCCCCCCCAGCAGGCCTCGAAAGTGGCGACAGTTTCACAGATCGCAGCCCCCCAGGGATGGCGAGGTCTAATTTGAATCCGCGCGTCGCCCTCACTGTGCTGGGCCCCCCAGCAGGCCTCGAAAATGGCGACAGTTTCACAGATCGTAGCCCCCCAGGGATGGCGAGGTCTAATTTGAATCCGCGCGTCGCCCTCACTGTGCTGGGCCCCCCAGCAGGCCTCGAAAATGGCGACAGTTTCACAGATCGCAGCCCCCCAGGGATGGCGAGGTCTAATTTGAATCCGCGCGTGGCCCTCACTGTGCTGGGCCCCCCAGCAGGCCTCGAAAGTGGCGACAGTTTCACAGATCGCAGCCCCCCAGGGATGGCGAGGTCTAATTTGGTCCGCGCGTGGCGTCACTGTGCTGGGCCCCCCAGCAGGCCTCGAAAGTGGCGACAGTTTCACAGATCGCAGCCCCCCAGGGATGGCGAGGTCTAATTTGGGTCCGCGCGTGGCGTCACTGTGCTGGGCCCCCCAGCAGGCCTCGAAAGTGGCGACAGTTTCACAGATCGCAGCCCCCCAGGGATGGCGAGGTCTAATTTGAATCCGCCGCGTGGCGTCACTGTGCTGGGCCCCCCAGCAGGCCTCGAAAGTGGCGACAGTTTCACAGATCGCAGCCCCCCAGGGATGGCGAGGTCTAATTTGAGTCTGCCCGTGGCGTCACTGTGCTGGGCCCCCCAGCAGGCCTCGAAAGTGGCGACAGTTTCACAGATCGCAGCCCCCCAGGGATGGCGAGGTCTAATTTGAGTCTGCCCGTGGCGTCACTGTGCTGGGCCCCCCAGCAGGCCTCGAAAGTGGCGACAGTTTCACAGATCGCAGCCCCCCAGGGATGGCGAGGTCTACTTTGAGTCTGCCCGTGGCGTCACTGTGCTGGGCCCCCCAGCAGGCCTCGAAAGTGGCGCAGTTTCACAGATCGCAGCCTCCCAGGGATGGCGAGGTCTAATTTGAGTCTGCCCGTGGCGTCACTGTGCTGGGCCCCCCAGCAGGCCTCGAAAGTGGCGACAGTTTCACAGATCGCAGCCCCCCGCAGGCAAGACAGGAGAAGGCAAGAGGGAGGTGGGACGGGAAGGAGGAAGTGGAGACCACACTGCCCTATTCAAAACGAATACCCAACCAAAGAGGGTTTGGGGGGGGGGAAACAAAAAAACAAACAAACAAAAAAAAAAAACGGCACCACCCCACCTGCGGCCCCACGTGGCTCAGAGTACACCCGGAAATCTGGCGTGGGCTCTTGCGTGGTGTGCGCTATACGGCCCCCGATGGGCCGTACAGCGCAACATGGAGGGCCGCAGGTGGGGTGGCGTCGTCTGTTGTCTGGTCGACCCGACGCCGTGGTTTTTCTTAATATCGTGGACCCCCGAAGGCCCCGACCGCTGCCCATGGAAAGCGGCTCTTCGTCCCGAGCCGTTCCTCTTGACGGCCCCGCGGGAAGCCTGGCGAGCGGCCCTCCGGAGGCCAAAGACTGCCAAAAAAAACTTCCGCCGTGATTTCGCCACGGAGCGAGCTGGCCGGAGATTGGCGGCGATCCCGGGGGGAAATGAAAAGGAGAAGGCCTTCTCGCAAGGTTTGAAAGTCCCCGGGCTTCCGAGAAGTTTTCTTAGCCTTCCCCGAAGACACGGAAGACTTCTCAGAAGGCGCGGGGGCTGCTGAGAAGTGACGCCACCTTCTGAGAAGACCTTCTCCTTCTCACCTTCTCCCCTCGCTCGCCGCCGAGGCGAGCCCAGAAAAGATTCGATGAGCTGGATCGGCGGTCGACATGAATCGTATCGGCGGGAATCGGCAGCCAAGTCAGGTGAAGTCGAATAGGCGGAGATCGGCAGGCTAGTGAGCCCTCCACTAAAAACCCGAAACCCGAATCGGAATCCGAGGTCGAACCGAATCGGAATCGAAAATCGATCGGAGTCGAATCGAGCCGAGTCGGAGGCGTCGTGAGCCCTGGCTGGTGGGGGCCTACCACCGCCGCGCGCCCCGCCCGACGGCGGCCGCGGCCGCGACCTGCCAAAACCGCGCGGGGCGCCGCTGCAGGTGCCGCGGGGCTGAGCCGAGGCACCCGGAGAGGCGGCGGCGAGGCAGCAAGGGATGCAGTCCGTCCTTGGAGGTTCCGTCCACCACGACGCTGATCGTGCCTCCGCCTGGCGCGGGCGGCGGGGAGGGCCGACTTCGATCGGCTGCGCCAGGATGCACCACAGCGCCGTACAGGCATGCGGCCGCATCGGGCCGTCGGAGCATCGGAATCCGATCCGCTCGGGCCGATCAGAGTCGACGTCGAATCGGATCGAGCGCCACACGCGGGGGCGGCCCCAGGCAGGAGCGCCCTCCGGTGGGCGGCTTGCCCAAGGTCGCCCAGCTTCGCGCCGCCCGCGCCCCGCGGTGCGCGACGCGCGGCTGCCTCCTCGCCCTCGCGCCCTCGTGCCGCCCGGCTTGGAGAACGGCAGACGCTCTGGGCCCAGACCGCGACGCGCGAAGCGCGGTTGTCTGCGCGCCCCCGCGGATGACCTGCGCAGGCGTGCCGACCGTCGCGCGCGACGCGGCGGCGCACTGCAAGCGCAGAGAGCAAGGGGTGCTGAAGTAGGAGCGAGGCCCCCCTCTGCCCCCCAAGAGGCGCCTGGGCGCACGAGTGGAGCGCTGGAGGAACAACCATGGAAAGAACCAACGAACAGCGAGCCCCTTCCGAACCCGAATTGCTCAGTACGGCCGAAAACGTGATCACGAAAACCATCACCAAAGAAAACCAGGCAAGTTTCCCAGAAGCTTCCGGAAGCGAGCCCGGGCTAATTCCTGTTGTTGACGCTGGAGGGGCGAACGTGTTCGAGAGACTTGGCCAGCTCTCCGGCAAGCTAGTTCAGAAACGCTGACCCAGCTCTTCGGCAGGAGGCTTCTTCATCAGATGCTCGACTGCAGGGGTCGTTCAGCCGTTCGCACCAGGGCGCCCACCTCCGCAAATGAATACGCTTGGGCACGCAAAAACCGATAATTTTGTCGGGCTCTTGCGGCGCCCCGAAGGCACTTCCAAAGTGCCTTCGGCGCGCGCGCGAGCGTGCACTGCACATTCTGTTCGGCACCGCCTTTGCGCGGCGTCAGCGTTAAACCGAGGATTTTTGTGGCGGCAGCCGCGTTGCCAGAGTGTCCCGCTGCCACAAACAACGAGCCCCTTCCGAGCCCGAACTGCTGCTTGCTTCAGCGCCCTGACTGCTGGCCTGCCCGCCGCCCCCGCGCGCAACCCGAAGGCCACGCACCGGAGGCCGCTCCGGAGACGCGCCGCGCTCGTGCCGCGCAGCCGAAGAGGCCGCTGCGCTCACGGGGGGCCGGGCACCGTGGGAGGGAACTTGCCGCTGCGCAGCTCTGCTGCGAGCCGAGTTCTCGAAGTCCTCTCGACCTCGTGGGAAGGGCCGCCGTCGAGTGTCGAGCACGGCGGCAAGGAAGGAGGGGAGGAACAGAGATGAGGATGGACCAGAAAACAAGCGACATCACCCCACCTGCGGCCCCAGGGGGCTCAGCGTATGCCAGGAAATCTGGCGTGGGTTTCTGCGTGGTGTGCGCTATACGGCCCCCGATGGGCCGTGGCGCAACATGGAGGGCCGTAGGTGGGTGGTGTCGTTCGTTGTTTGGTCGAGGGGAGGAGAGGAGCGGAACAAGGAGAGGCTACAAGAAGAAACAATTGAATAAACGTATGTGTCGAAGGTCTGCGCGGAAAATCCTGTGTTGGGCCCTCGTTTTGAAGAGACAGCGCCCCGCGTCTCCTCCTCCACTCCTCTCCTCCTCCTCCCCCTCCTCCCGCCTCCCATCTCTTGCCTCTGCTCTCTGCATGCCCATCCCATTCTGGCACACCCCTCACGAGGATCGTGGCCCCACAGGGAGCTCCACCGAAGGCCCCAGGGTCCGCATGCGGGGACCGCTACCCATTGTGGCACACCCCTCACGAGGATCGTGGCCCCACAGGGAGCCCCACCGAAGGCCCCAGCGGCAGGGTCCGCACGCGGGGACCGCCACCCATTGTGGCACACCCCTCACGAGGATCGTGGTCCCACAGGGACCTCCACCGAAGGCCCCAGCGGCAGGGTCAGCATGCGGGGACCGCCACCCATTTTGGCAGACCCCTCATACGGTTCGTGGCCCCATAGGGAGCTCCACCGGAGGCTCCAGTGGCAGGGTCAGCATGCGGGGACCGCCACCCATGCAGGCACACCCCGCACAGGCCACATGCGCCCGACGCCCATTTTGGCACACCCCTCACACGGTTCGTGGCCCCAGATGGAGCTCTACCGAAAGCGGTACCCACCACGCGGTATTCACAATTGCGCATGGTTGGGTCGCTGGCAAGGATAATTTATAGATTTTTTCGAAAGGCAGAAGAGGAACGGGAGCGAGAAGAAGCGGAGGAGGAGTAGCGCGGGCAGCCCTCGGGCGGCAGCGAGGCCACGCCGAGGGACGGTATCCCTCCGTCGCCCTGTGGACACTGGACACTGGACACTTCGCCCGTTCGCCCCGCGGGACGGCCATGCAGGGGCAAGGCGGCGGCGCAGCGGCGCAGCCTCTGTCGCCCTGTGTGTGGTGATAAGTGCCGCCTCATGTGGGCCATCTCCCTTCACTTCATGCGTGCAGCTCTGCTTCCCATATATGTGCTCACAGCTATGTTGTCTTTCTTCCCCCAGCGCACGTAATATAGTGGCACGGCTTTACTGCGCGAAAGGCTGCACTGAAGAAGAGAACGAGTAGGAGGACGAGGAGGAGGGAGAGTGGGCAGCGTAGTTTCTAAAAACGGCTGTCGCGCGCATTTGCTGCTTGGAAGCGGCCGGGGGGCCTGAACTGCATGGCACCCCAGAAAAACAGTCATGAGGGGGGGATGAAGCCAAATCCACTCAAAATCCGTCCCTGGACCTCTCCCGGGGTTCACTTGGTGTGATTTTCCACCCCGGATCCGTTTCTCATAATTCCGGGGCCCGAAAATAGCCCGTGGAGGCCGAAAAACACAAAAAATCCTTGCCGAGCCAGGAACCTCGAACCTCGCGCGCCCTTCCTGCTGCCCAGAAGCAGTGCTGGGCCTGCTGCCCAGAACCAATGCTGGGCCACCTCAGATCCCAGCCGCCTCCAAAGGGAGAGAGAGCAACACGCGCATCTGCTGCCCTGTCTCTTCTCACAGCTCTCAACACTCGGGGGCGTCCAAGAGAGGGGAGTCCAACATGGGGGGCGCAAGTCATGGCCGGCAGCACGTGCGCAGCTCCGGGGAGGGGGCGGGGGACGCAGTGAAAAGATCTTGGGAGAAATCATGGCCATGGCCATGATATCCACCCCCCTAGTCATCATCCCCCTCTTGGCCGCCCCCGAGGCGCGGGGCCGACGTACCGATGCCCCAGGACGCAGCGGCTGCACGCCGCCGCGATAAAACACGGACCACGATGAGCGCCAGCCCGCGTGTCACTCCGAAACGTGGTGGGCCAGAACCGGCGAAGCAACACGCTTTGCAGAAGTTCTCGACCGTATCTACGATCGTCTTAATGGGTCACGCCTTACAAAGGCGTTCCTACCGTCAACGCCCGCAGATGCATGATACCGCGTGTACGGCAGGTTCGTGTCGTGGCGAACATTGCGTTCGTCTCTGGTACCGCGCGGATCATTCAACTGGCTTTCCGACCGCCAGATCGTTCCACATTGGCCGGATCCGACCTAAGAAACCAGGATCGGGAGCAGGATCAGGAGCAGGAGAACGGCAGGGATCAAGACAAACACTAGGACGAAAAGTAATACAACGAGAAAAGAAGGCGAAGGTTCAGCGAGGGCAGAAAAGAATGGTAGCCAAGGTGGACCCCGAACAATATGTTTCTAGCAAAACTTGCCTTGCTTTCTATGCGGAGCAACCTACATATGCAATAGATGTGGAACAATCTGCGTGGTGCATTCTATGTGGCGCAATATATGTCATGCAACTCATGTTGTGCAGTCTACGATTTGCAATCCATGTGGTGCAATATCTGTGGTGCTATCTATGTGGTGCAAAAATATGTTTGGACTCTACGCGGGGCAACATTTAGGACACAGTATATGTGGTGCCCTCTATGTGCTACCATATGTGTGCTGCAATATTCGCTATGCGATCTAGATTGTGCAATGTATGTGGTGCCGTCTACGTGGTGCAATCCACTTTGACCGTCTTGAAGCTGTCCTCTCCGCTGCTCGTGCAAACATCCCACCCTCCCACCCGCAACTTGGTCGCAAGACATCTTAAGACAAGGCCGTGACGGTAGGTACCACATGGCACTTGGCCACGACACCGACGCCGACGACGACAGCGACAACGACGACGACGGCGCCGCCGACACCGACTACGACGACACCGACGACGTCTCCAACGACTTCGACGACGATCACGACGACGACGACGACACCGACGACGACGACGCCGCCGACGCCGACGACGACGACGACGACGACGACGACGACGACGACGCCGACGCCGACGACGACGACGACGACGAAGACAACGACGACGACAACGACAACGACGACGCCAACGAAGACGACGACGAGGGAGGAGGGAGGACGACGACGGCGACAACGACGACAACGACGACAACGACGACAACGACGACAACGAGGGAGGAGGGAGGACGGCGACGACGCGAACGACGAAGAAGGAGGAAGGACGGCGACGCCGACGACGACAACGACGAGGGAGGAGGGAAGACGACGAGACGACAACGACGACGACGACGACGGCGACGAAATAGGAGGGACGACGACGAGACGCCGACGACGACGACGACGACGGCGGCGACGACGACGACACCGACGTCGACGACGACGAAGACGACGACGCCGAGGCCGACGACGACGACGAAGACGACGACGACGACGTCGCCAACGAAGACGACGACGAGGGAGGAGGGAGGACGACGACGGCGACAACGACGACAACGACGACAACGACGACAACGAGGGAGGAGGGAGGACGGCGACGACGCGAACGACGAAGAAGGAGGACGGCGACGCCGACGACGATCACGACGAAGAAGCAGGGAAGACGACGACGACAACGACGACGACGACGACGGCGACGAAATAGGAGGGACGACGACGAGACGCCGACGACGGACGACGACGACGACGACGAGGGAGGAGGAGGAAGGACGACCAC